TTTGTCTACTTCTTTTTGTCTCTCGCTGATCTTTGGGGGACCAGAGAAGGACCCCTCTGTAGCTCAGTTTCTGTGAGAGTGCATTTCTATTAAAGCAGGAGGAACAACGGACACATTAGAGGCATCTGTAGATTTTCATACTTCAAGAATTTGGCACTGTTACCTTGTGTCAGACAATATTTTGTAATTAGCTTGCGTGTTTATTCGTAACCATACCTAGAGATTGACCAAAGCGAGAATGGTATTCTTGAAACTGTTATAAGGAGTCAATAGGGAATCATCTCTATATGTGTACACAGCTGGGTTAAAGACTATTAAGACAGCCTGTACAGGAAGTGGCCTGTTCACTCTGGTTGCCATTAAATTATCAGCTGTTTATTTAGAACAAGAATATTTTCCATGTCTGATGTCTTGACTTGACAAATAACTTGTTTTTACTTTTAGTTGCTGTTTCAAAACATGTTTCAAATTAGACCAAGATGTTGTTGTTTTGCTGAGCCGTACCATTAATTGGCATAATTTTCTGTGACAGCAGTGCTAGACAAATTGTCTCCAGCATCACAAAATGATTCTTCACTGTTGTGTTAAGTTAGCCTTTACAAGGTCGTTAGATCACCACTGTCAGCCTGACTCTTTGTGGTCACAATAAACTCTGGTCTCCTTCCAGACAGGAAACTCATTGCTGCTTGTGTGTGTCTGTGCGCCTTTTGTGCAGGTTGAAGAATGGAGTTGGCCAACCATGGTCTTATCCTGCTGCAGCAGCTTAACGCTCAGAGGGAGTTTGGCTTCCTGTGCGACTGCACTGTGGCCATAGGAGATGTCTTCTTCAAAGCCCACAAAGCTGTCCTCGCTGCCTTCTCCAACTACTTCAGAATGCTCTTCATCCACCAGGACAGGTACAGGAAGAATGTGTTACTATGTGGTATCGGACACAAGCTCAATACCGAGCTAAGATTCTTTTTGTTGTACATCAGAGAGTTCACCCAAACGCCAAATTCTGCTGCCAAAACCTACAATCACATTGACCAGTTGTCATGTTGTCTGTAGTTGAGCACTGGACTGTATCTAAATCTTTTTAGTGTGGTGACCCTTAACTAATGTTATTGTTCGATAACTGGGACAGATTGAGGTGACAAATTGGAGAATTGTAAGGGCATGAAGATCAAAACATGGTATCTGTGCTGCTTTGATAATGTGTTATGGTGAGGTTCTCCTCACGGAAGGGTATACAGACCCAAACAGATTTATTCTCATGTAACAACCTGCAACCAGTAATGTAAACATGTTTTCCTCATATAGTAAAGAAGTTCTTTATCTATTATCCTTAACTATTGACAGCTGAAACCTGTATCAACTGGTGCTGCTGTGACCTTTTGCTTCCTTTTATCAGCAACACAGCATCTATTATCAAGACCTCAAACATCAATGTCGTGAGTTAACTGTAAGGTGTTTGTGTTTCAGTGACTGCGTGCGCCTGAAGGCTGCTGACATACAGCCAGATATCTTCAGCTACCTCCTCAACCTGATGTACACAGGCAAGCTGGCACCCCAGTTGATAGACCCTGCACGTCTGGAGCAGGGGGTCAGATTCCTGCATGCCTATCCACTCTTGCAGGAGGCGAGCCAGTCTGTGTATTCACACCCTGAGCACAGCATCAATCTTTCCACCTCCCTCTACGGCATCCAGATCTCTGACCAACAGGTAGCGTTGGCAGCTAGGTTGCCCTCTCGACGGCAGATCTCCTCACCGTTTGACATGGAGCATCTGAGCTCAGAGGGGAAGTATCCGTCCACGGCAGCTGCCACAGTTTCATATGCAGATTCATTACCGTCCAAGCTAGCTTCCTCGCCCCTTGGTGTAGAGGCTTCAACCAGCGGCACCAAGCCTACAGTTGAGGAGGGGGGGATGGACTTGCTAACTGCAGATGGCTCCTCAGCCAACGCCATCCTCCACGTGAAGCCCAGCATCATGAAGAGGAATTCCTCCTTTAGGAAGCATTACTCCTGTCATCTGTGCAGGACCCGATTCACCCAGAGAAGCCTGCTGAGAGAGCATCTCCTCCAACACACTCAGGCTCTGCAGCAGATACAAGCTGAATCCAGCAATGCACTCTCACCTGTCATGACTGCAGAGCATAGCATGCTAGAGTTAGAGGGGGTCCTTAAGGGAAGCAAGGCGGGGTCAGGAGCCTCAGCTTGCACTACAGCAGTAGAGATAATCAGCGACAGCGAGCAAACGCCTGTTTCAGGTACCAACTCGGACTCTCCCCGAGCAGAGGTGCCCACCTCCAGCTGGGGGGTGGGAGGATTAAATTCTCAGGCAGACACTCCTCCTCCGTCAGACATTGCGGACATTGACAACCTGGAGAGCGCCGACTTGGACAGGGAAGTGAAGCGGCGGAAGTACGAGTGCTCCACCTGTGGGCGCAAGTTTATTCAAAAGAGCCACTGGCGTGAACACATGTACATCCACACGGGCAAGCCCTTCAAATGCAGCGCTTGTGGCAAGAGCTTCTGCCGGGCCAACCAGGCAGCCCGCCACGTGTGCCTGAATCAGGGGGCCGACACCTACACCATGGTGGACCGACAGAGCATGGAGCTGTGCGCCGCAGGCGACGACAGCAGCCAGATGGAGGCGATGTTCTTGGGGTCGTCAAAGCCTTACAAGTGTAACATTTGTGCGACGACCTTCGGCAGTCCCAATGAGGTGATCAAACACTTGTGCTTCACCCAAGGGGGATTAGTGGGGCTGCAGGGAAACACGGGCGCAGGGATGCTGCTCCAACGTGAAGAGTTTTCCAAAGATGAAGGCTCTGATTTGTCCAACTCTGGCACCCCATTGGAACCCATAAAGACTGAGGAAATCCTCGTAGAGTAGTGCCAAAACTGTGTATTTGTCATTTTTAACATGTATGTGTATTTTCTAAATTATGGTTAATAGGTAAGCTAAAGCTGAAGTTAGTCAGGGTATGTATGTTGGAGGCTCTCAATCTACTAAAACATTTTTTTGGAGGAGGGGTTGGGGGGTTTTCTTTGGTACAATTTATTTTGTTTTGGCCCTGAATATGACAAAAAAGTATATTAAATAGTAAAGTAAATAGCCTGTAGCTCTCTGGAGTTAAGTCCAACGTCATTAGAAAAGCAAATAACATAAACATTTGATCCAAGGTTAAGTTGAATGATGGAGATTCTAATTTGTGTACATCGGTATTAGACTCTAACACGTCAGGCTGTAGCGCATTGAGCTACCGTTGTGGTAAGGCTGCACGGAGCGGACTTTGAATTTAAAAGGAAGAGGAAGCAGAGACAGTTCCGGAGAAGACAGCTGCTTGTGAGATGAGTTGCTAGATTTGAGGAGGAAAAAGAGGTGCCAGCTACTAACAATCCCTCTGGAGCTGCACAGAGCCTTTTCTTCTTGGTCATAAATGAGATGCTGATTCTGCACATCAGGAATAGATTATAATTCCAGCAAAAAGCACACAATATATTCAGACCTGAGACAATCTGTGCTCTTGTTTTTTTGAATAAATGCCTAATATGCAGGAAAGTACATTTGTCTTCCATTCATGTTTTGGTTGGCGTTTTGGCTCAGCTGCCGTTTTTAGTTGTTTTACTCTGTGTTTTTTTTTTTTTTTGACTGATCATGGTTCATATGTCATTACACCATATTAAAGCACAGTTGCTCTTCATATTAAGAATTTGACCACTGAAAGTTGGTCACAACAAGCAAGAGTTGTCATTGTGTTTACAGTTGAGCCACTTTGATTCTTTACTCATTCTCACTTGTGTTGTATTACTCTTTGACATAGCAACTTGTTCCAGTCAGACACTCATACATTGATGGGAGGCTGTCCTGTACAATATTGTACATCTTGTCTTCATATAATTTGCAAATTGCCCTTCTGTTTTGTTTGACATGCTTTTCTAATTTCATATACAATGATATATTTACAAAGATTATTTTATATTGCAAAAGTTACGTGTGTATATTAATTGACAAATAGCCTTCAAAATAGGATTACATTTGGTATTGCTGAAGTTTATATATTAGGGATGGGCATGATACATTTATCTTTAATTTCTCCAAGAAATAGGTTAAAAGGGGTTATAATAAAAAGATTGTTTGGGAGTCTCTTCCCATCGCCAAATTTGTACTAATTGCTATCTCTTATTCATTTTGTGCAAAGGGAAACATTTTCTCTGTATCATTTAAAACTGTCTGACATGAATATTTGTTCTTTATTTTTGTCCAAATCAGAAAAGGAAGAAGTAGTCATTTATAGAACAAAATACGCAGGTAAACCTGGTGTGATGCAGATGGAGTAGAGTTTGCATGCTCCACCTGTCAGTATGGAGGTCATGTGAACTCAGGCATGGATGACAGTGTGACACAGGGATATATATATATATATATACATATATATACATAAACCTATCTGTCTGGATACATATGTGTTAATGGGAATATAAGATAATGCTATTTATTATAACTTACAACAACCTCGATTGTTTGAGATACCAGAAAGACGTTTTATGTACTACTGATGACTGGAAATTGTGAAGAATTCTTTACATACATGTTCAATTAATGTGTAGGAGTTATATAATTTGTCATACTGAAACATGTGAAGTGTTACAGTAGCACAGGTAGCATAATACAAGTTGTTCAGGAACAAAATCTTCCAATTGTCCAATTGCCTTTACAGGCCCAGATGTTCAAACTAGTCAACTATACATAACATGGAGATTAGTTTTTTTTTTTTTTTTAATCCTTACATATTTGAATATTAAGATGAAGTTATTTTAGGAAGGCTTGTAAAACTGTCTTAATATTGTTATTGTTCCTTCTAGTGGGAAATAAATTCTACTTTATATTGTTATTGCTACAGCATTGCTTCTTTTCTGCAAAAACCTATAAATTGTTTGGTGAAACAATGTGATCCCTCCAACGTTATCCAGCCTCATATGTTTGCAAATACCAAAAATAATTTCTCTCATTTAACTTTTTTTTTTTTTTTTAACATATTTTCATATATATATTTCAAAGCAGATTTCTTAATTAGGACACACAAAAGCTGATTAATGTGTGATATAGAAAATGATTTTAAATCTAGTCTTTTGTTGGATTTATGGACTTTGTTTTCTCCATCTTTTAATTATTTTTATAATTATGAGAGAATATGAAAGAAATGCCCATCCCTAGTATGTTTAATATGTGTAGTCGTTTTGTTTTCTTTTGAGCCAATTTCACTCAGCCGGTATGTCGGTAGGTTGGTTAGTGACAGCGAGAATGAGACCCAGGTCCGATTTGGTTTAAGTGGGATTTTTATTCATTATATCCGATTATATCAAGTATTGAAGAAGCAGTTGCTGCTTTTGACGCAATGAGCCCAGTGTTTGGCTAGATGGAGCTGTTTGTCTTATTTGTCTACTCAGGTCTAGTGAAGGGGGGGAAGGCTGTCAAATTTGAAGTAATATCCTTACTAGTGTTTTTGTGGTGTGCTTGGCAATGATATGGCCGTCTTTGCCAGGAATCAATATTCCATCACAGTTTGGTTCACATAACAAAACAAAACAAAAAACCCACAAATATCTGTGAATTTAACTTTACGAGTGTTTTAGTATCGACTAACAAGGAAGGGATTCTTGTGTGTCTTGATTCAAGCTTGTTTTATTGAGGGAGCTGAAATGCTGTACTACTGACATTCATTTCTAAGAGCTCAGTTGATACACAGAAATATGCACACATTTCTGAAAAGTCTAAATCCTTCCTCATTTATGTTTATCAAGTTGTAATTGTTCTTCTGCCACACCAGTCTTGTAACTCAATGGTTGTGCATGTTACGTGTTTAAAACATCTCAGTATCTCAGGAAGATGAGAAGTTGTCACATTGTCTTTTCTGTCCACTGTTTATCAAAAGAATAATTATTTCATTTCCATCTCATGATCCTTACTCCCCAATGCCCCTCTGACATCTACTGTGATCAGTCTGTGTTCTCAGGAATGTGAGTAATTTTCTGTATAAACAAATTTTTTTCAGTGAAGAACAATAAAAATATGTCTTTTTATAATTGTGGATCTTGTCTTTACCTCAACAGAACAGCTTCAGGAGCCATTTTGTCCATCTATTCAACATTTATAAGCTATTATAAAGATTTAATTTCAAATTTATTTACAACACACTGTGAAGTGTGTTTATTAATTTGTTGTATTGGTCAAATTCTAACCTGCTATGAAGACACATTTGATATTATTACACTTATGTTTTACTATATTGTTGTTCATTTATCTTTGTATGTCACATAACACTTATATCTGCTTACAAATGCATTATAATGTGTTATAAACCATGTATTAAGTCAATCACTTAAGTTTTACCTTTGCTCCAGAGGTAGATAATGTCTTTGTAGTGATGATTATGTATTGGGCTCAGGGATTAATACAAAACTCACACCGATTTTCTCTAACTTTATTGAATGAAATATAGACAAGTTTTTGTATCCTTACTATTAACAGCTTGGAAAATATAAAACACAACTAAGACCATGCTACATGAATATTATGCTAAATTGCTGCAGGTTATTAGTTAATATTACAACAATATGATTTTTAAGTACATACAGTAGGTAAACAATCTGTACAAATGTTAACAGGTTCACAGTTAAGTGTGTTACAAAAAGCAGGGAGGACTGAAGTGGGCTGGTGCCCCAACTAAAATGCTTTACATTATGCAACAATAGCAAAAGTCTTTAGTTCACTCTATCTTATTTAATCATTTATTTTTACATGAAACAAGTGTGAATGTGACACAACCCTCTAGAGTCAAAGTAAAGGGAAGTGGCGACCTAACGGGTCGGTGTACTTCCTGATCTTTCTCTTGTTTGGTCATAAAGCGAGTGAAATGAAAAGAGTGAAATGTGAGTTTCCAGAGCTCCTCGTGTCAGGAACCAAATTAAAATCAGTGGATTAAAAAGCACTCACAGATAAATATAAAGTTATCTGAATGATTGACGCAGTGCAAGTTTGACAAAAATTTGGTTGGAAATAAATATCAGTGTAACCCATAGTCATGTTTGCTTTGGTGGTGAAACTGGATCCCAGGAATGCTTCAGATATTCCTCCAGCCTAAAAAACTTGCAAAATAACCCCTGACCTTATTACTTAGGTTTGATGCGTGACTCAAAGTAGCTGAGTAGATGCTTTAAGGAATTTAATTGGATGCAACTGATGTCTTATCCTGTGAGCAATGAAATGACCATGACTGCCTGGTTGAACTTAACTTGATTTGACTTTTAAATTAAGAATAAAATGAGCTTTTTTGTTTACTCCTGGTACCAAGCAGTCAGTGTCTGTGCCTCTCTAAATCCCCAAACCAGTGAGTCTACGTCCTCCCCGGTGCCAGTTTATAGAAACCTGAGCTATCATGCTGGGTGAAGAACACGACACAAGGGCAGGTACCATAAGACCAGTTTTTTGTGTTATCGCCCCTGGTTAAAACAGTTAAAGTCAAAATGACACAAAATGCCTGAAGACTAAAGGGTGCACTACTTTTTGAAGGCAACAGAGGGCGTCAATATACTTTCTTTTAATCTAGAAATATAAATATTGTGTAGTAAGGAAGGTGTTAAACTTAAAACCGCTACACACAAATAATACATACAGTATGTCACACACACAGTAACTCAGAAAACATGGCCATTAAACACCAAGAACATGATATGCTTTGTGTTTCTTACATGCACGTGTCTAAGCAGTATGGCTCTTCCAGTGTCACAAGTTGGCATTATGTATCCTTTACACATCACTGTTTACCAAATACCTCTGCCACATGATCAAATGAGGGTGTTATAATAGTATTTTATTGTATTATTACATGAAACAATGTGTAACAATGTCTTATTCACAGTAAATCAGGCAGTGATTTTTTTTTTTTTGTCTTATCTACATGAAGCTTATTGAGTATTTTGTCAGGGTGCAGAGTGAGAACACATTGTGATGATCAAGAATGCGTCAAAAGTCAAACACGGGGTGCATTTCTGGTAGATATCATCATACTCTCTGCCCTCTTGTTGTCAGTATTATCACTTACTGTCAGTGGAATCACACTTGTACCATGGTTTAGTTATAATTGCTGCAATGTCTTGAAATAATCATTGAAAATGACTTTTAAAGCTGTGATACACAGGTCGCTTATATGCAACAGTGTCACATTTGTTTTGGTAAATTTCACTAGAAACTTTTTAGATAACGTCAACTGTTAGTGTTGCTTTAAAAGAACACCTGATGTATCACAGCTTAATAAGGGAATCTTAAAAACAGGCAACAATGTCCATACAACAACAAAAAATAAAAACCGACGGGTGAATGAAAGAATATTCAAGATATAAATACAATATACAAGATAATAATCCTCCATCTCTTCACCTACACCATCTCACTCTCGCTACTATACACATACCAACACACACACAGACATACGCACACGCACACACACACACACACACACACGAACAGCTGCACACTCAACCAGGTTGCAGACTTTTCGTCTAATGCAGCAAGGGCAATGGAAAGTCACTGAGACACTGAACATACATCACACTGATTACAAGCCAGATGGGATGCTTCTGAGGCACAGGACATGCTTTAGTGTGAGTGTGAGTGTGTGTATGTGTGTGTGTGTGTGTGTGAGAGAGTGAGTGAGTGAGTGAGTGGGTGAGGATATGGTGGTGGGACGTCACATTGCAGTGACAGGGCTGCAGGATGGGGTTGGAGTACAGGTGGAAGGGGAGGTGGAGAGAATGGCGGAGCTGTTGCTCAGTCACTCAGTCTCTCTGGGCGGGATGGGCGGAGCCCAGTCTCAGTGTGTTACCACAGAGCTGCCTCTTTCTCTCTCTCTCTCTCTCTCTTTCTCTCCCTCATCACTCACTTCCTGGTCCAGACAGTGTGTCTCCCAGGCATCAGTCTTGTATCTTCAGCTGTGGCAGAGAGGCACAAAAAACAGATATTAGGAACAAGAAAAGACTGCATCTCTTCTTCTTTGTACAAAAAAAGAAACCCACTGAGGTTGACAGTTGGAAACAACCTGTGGTATTGTTGTAGGACCAGAAAATCATTTAATAGCTGCTTTGTTATTTTAAGTGTGCATTGTTTCTTCATTCTTCTTATTCAGACAATTAGTGGTAGTCTAGCTATATAATCAACGACTCCTCAATTCAAACAGTGTCTTCAGTTGTACATCGTGACACAAACCAATGATATATTGTCTAATCTTTGTCATTTCAATAAAGAACAGGTACTTTTCTTTTGTCCTTTTATATCTCTCAAGGTTTGTTTATATGATTTAGCACACACTTACAGTGAGAGAGCTGCTGTACCACTGCTGCTGTTAAGCTAATGTAACCCACCAAGGTCTTTCCTGCAATACTTCACTTCATCTCCTGACTGTCTTCTGCTGCATGACTGCTTAATAAATATAAAAGTGAACTACGCCCCAGTCACTAAAATATGGTTGCACATTTTAGATTACACTATCCTGTACATATCAAATATATTCAGCCAAAACAACTGGAAAAAAACAACATGAGATCTTTGAGGCTTTGTAACTGAATCTAACAAATGCATACTCCGACATGGTTTCTTGACTCCATACTGAGCCTGTGATAGGAGGAAAACAGGAGGAGGGAGCGGAGGAATCATAATCAGTCTTTCAGCACAAGTTCATCTGCCCCTCACACACCGCTTCCCTTTAAGACCCCGGCCTACAAAGAAGGGGTCAACGGCGGCATTCCTGCTTTGATATCAAAGGTCCCCTGGTTACTCATAGCCCGAACAAAAGCTTTTTCATCTGGCCAGTGGGCAAATCCCCTCCCCTACTCCCTAATAAAAGTAGGGCCCATTGATGTTTCAAAAAAGCTACTATGAGAAGATTGTTTGATAGGCCAACAAAGGAATTTTGAAAATAACTACCCTTTTTCAGTCTTTACTGTTCCATCCCCAATTTCACAGAAATACTAAAAACACTCCTACTTTGGTTGCCTGCATTTTGATTTGGTATCTTATATTAAAAATGTAAATAAACATTATATCAGAGACTGGTCTCACCTGCTCATGATGTGGCTGTGATCTCTGTTGATACAGGCTCGATCTCCTTCACAGCCTCCTCAATCACCTCGATCACCTGCGCCATCACCTCTGCACACTTCACCGATGATGTTTTCTCTGTCTCTGGTTGGCTGGCTGCTGCCTCTGTGAGTTGGCTGGGAGCGGAAACCTCTGCCGACGCTTGTGGTTCTTCTGACAGCGTGGGGAGTTTGTTTTCACGGGCAGCGCTCTCAGCTTTTACGCCAGTGTCTTCAGCCACAGGACCATTGCTATCAAACTCTTCCACAGCCTCTTCTTCTACTGACGGTTCCTCAAATACTTGCGCTGTCTGCAGGACCACTTGGACTGGGATGTGAATCTCGAGCACTTTCTCTTTGTCCTCCTCTGAAGGGGCCTCTGATTTTGCTTCATCTGATTGTGGTTTCCTTTCCTCAGCTTCTTCTTTTACATCTGGTTCCTGAACCTCTGTGTCTTCTTTGCTCTGTTCCTCCTTGACCTCTTCAAGCTCTTCACCTGTCTGACTCTCTGTCTTTATCTCCACCACTTCTTCCACTACGACAGTTTCTTCACTTACTTTTACCTCCACAGCTTTCTTTAACCCTTCTTCTGGTTTCTTCTCCTCCTCTACAGAGACATCAAGGCTCCCTGTAACCTCTACTGGGATCGTGTCAATGACCTGCACGGCAACACAAAGTGGCTGAGGTGACTTTGGTGCTGTTTTTTCGCAGGCTGTTGGAACAACAACTGTGATAACAGGGGCCTCTGTTGTGATCTCAATCTCTTTCTCTGTTGTTGCTATAGCCTGGACTGGTTCTGGGATGGTGGTTGTTGGGGTCGTGGGCTTTTTGGGTTCAGGCGCCTCTTCTGAAACTTTATCCATGGCATCCTGAATGACATTCTGGGCAATGACCATGCTCTGAGTCTCAATTTCACTGGCCTGCTGGATGTCCTCCTTGATTTCCTCCATCTTCTCACTGGCTTGGTCAATGACTGCACTGACCTCTGAATCTGCTGTTTGAACAATGGTGGCCTCCTGGTTGGTCTCTCGCACCTGGATTGGTTCATTACTGACTGGTTCTGAAATGATCACCGCATCTGATGCAGCCACTTCGTCAGACTCCACAGTGACCGGGGCCACAAGGACCACTGTTTCGGTGATTACAGGAACCTCCTCACTTGGTACAGCTACAGGGGTGGCTTTCTCAGCCTCCTTTGACATGGTGGCCTTTGTGGTTTCACATATGGCCTGAACTACCTCTTTCACAGGGGTGTTTTCTTCAGTGGCAGCAAGCTTCTCAGTGTCAAATTTCACCTCCTTGGTTTCGATAGTTTGCTCTGAGACTTCTGTGCTCAGGGTGCAGACAGCTGTTTCAGATATTGGTGTAATTGGATTTATTACAACAACTTTAGGAGAGTTCTCACTCACTGTGGTAGTCTGAAGGACTTCAGACTCAGTGCTCAAAACTCCAACCTTCTCAATCTCAGGTTCATAGCTCTCACTGGCTGTTTGAATATGTACAACATCATTCACTGAATTTTCAACGGCAGGCTCAAGCGTGGTGCATTCCACTTGTTGCACCTGGGCCTTGAGCACTTCATCTTCAGAAGCAATGGCTTCCTCTGGACATGCTGGCCTCTCTTCCTTCGACACCTCTGTGCTTTGAGCGTCACGGATCACAGCCATGCACTCTATGATGGGCATTACAGGTTTCTCCAGAGCTACTTTGGCGATCTCCTTAGTTCCTAGGCCGGTGCAGATAGCCATGGCTTCGCCGCGAGTATGGGGCTCTAGGATGGCAGGCTTTGTGGAATCTGCATTCTCAGCTGGTGGTTCATCTTCACTTTTTTCTGAAGCTACCTCTATTGGTACATCTTCAATAGTCACAGATGTCTCAGGTGGAATTTCACTGACTTGGGCCTCTATGCCCCCCATGACCTCTTCTGCGTTCTCTGGCCTGGGTCCCTGAGGAACAGGAGTAGTTTCTGCAGCTGGAGCTTGGGCGACAGGCTTCACCTCAGCTGTGGACAGTCTGCGCCCTGTACGCCCTAGAGCTTTAGGGGGCGGAGTAGCCTCCTCCTCGATTTCATCCTCTGCAATGTCAGTGTCAATGGATTTTGGTGTGGCAGCATTCTCAGCCTCCTCTGGGATGTCACTGAGCTCATCGTGTTTATCATCTTCCACAATGGCAGGGATCCATGAAGGGGATCTGTCTTCAGCAGACACTTTAATCTGGACTACAGGTGGTTCTGCTGGTGCTTCCTGTTCTGCTTCAGCTTTCTCATCATACTCTGAGAGAGGAACCACAGCTGGGGTGTCTGAGTCCTCCTCAACTGAGCCATGTTCAGCGGAGGCTTGTTTTTCAGCCTTCTTCTTTCTGCGACCAGGCAAGAACTTCTTCAAGGAGAAAGATGACTCCTCTTTTGGTGCTTCACTGTCTGATTGGACTTGTTCTGCAGACTCCTCAGGCTTTTCCTCAACTTTGGCCTTGTTTTTTGACAAAACTATGCGTTTCAGTGTGTCCCACGCGGACACTCTCTCAGGGGGGCTGCTTATGGGTTCAGGGGAGGAAACAACTTCTTCATCACTCTCTGTTTTTTGGGAAGTGACAATGGCCTCAGTTTTGCCCTCCTGCTCTCCTTCTGCTGCTGCTGTTGCTGGCAAATCCTCTTCAATTTTGGTCTCCTCATCATCGGAATCAGAGGTCCTCCTAGTCCTCTTTTTGGGTCCACCCATACACATTAGAGCCTCCCAGGAGACAGAGGTGTCCATTTTCTTTTTGGGCTCTTCAGTGCTGCTAGCCAGTTTCTCCGTGTTTTCAGTCTTTGGCTCTTCCTCCGCTGGTGCTTCGTCCTTAGTTTCCTCCTCAACACTCTTATCTGCTAACGCGGCACTCTCGGAAGAGGACAGGGTGGCTGACTTTGCTGGTTTCTCACCCGTGGCTTCATCTTCGCTCTCAGAAGACCTTTTCACACGCTTCTTGGGTGTTACTAGTTTCTTGAAGGAGGACCAGGCAATGATGCCCTCTTTCTTCTTCTCTCCATCGGAGGCAACTTCACCATCAGTCTCTTGGCTAGACTCATTCTGGGTCACCTCCACAGAAATTACATGCTCTCCTGACTCCTCGGGAGATGAGGGTCCACTGTCAGGTTTTGGAGCCTCTGCTGACTCAGTGGAGGATTGAAGCTGCTCAGCCACCTGCTCCCCAGACTCAGTGAGCTTGGTCTCAGCCTCTTTCTTGGCCTTCTGTTTCTTAGTCGAGAGCTTCTTCAACCCAGCACCAGTGAAAAGCTTCTTCAGAGGGCTTCCCTGGGGCTTTGCCTTCTCCTGTGAGGACAGCAGCTCAGCCTCTGAAGTCACCTCTACTGGAGCCTTCTCCTCTTCTGCACTAGGTTCGGCCTTTTCCTCTTCTTGTTTGGTCTCATCAGAAGTAGTTGCTGCAGCCAGAGCAGGGTTTTCAACAGTAATCTCAGGCTCTGGGGTAGTCTCTGATTTTGCTTCCTCTGGAGTCACTGGCGCCTCAGTTTTTTCTTCCTCAGGAGTTGCTGGTGCTGCCTCCTTGGTTTCTTGCTCTACCTCATCCTTCTCCTCCTTTTCTTCCCCAGCCGCAGCAGTTTCTTCAGTCTTAGCTGCCTCCTCCTCAACAGCTGCTTCCTTGTCTTCCTCCTCTTTTGTCTTCTTGATACTGGCTTTCTTTCTCAGGTTAGAGAAGAGTACTACATTGAAGAGCTTTCTGAAGGGGGAAAGGGTCTCTACTTCCTTCTCAGCTCCTTCCTCCTTGACTGCTTCATCAGTAGCTTCAGTGGCAGCACCTTCAGCTGGAGCATCAGTGATTTCAGCTTTTTCACTTTCTTTAATGACTTCGGCCTCAACAGTAGCTGCCTCTATATCAGCCTCCCGTTCTTCAGATGTGCTCTTCTCCTCAGCAGTGGCAGCCTCCACCTCCGTTGTAGGTTCATCAGTCCCACTAACCTCCTCTCCTTCTTTATCTTTGACTGTCAGTAGCTTCACAGGGTCTTTCTCCTCACTTTTGTCCTTCTTCAGTGTGAACTTAAAGCCCACAAAGCGGAAGATTTTCTTGAAGCCCACTTCATTGGCATCATCAGGTTTCTCCTCCGCTGCTTTCTCCTCAACAGCAGAGATGTCATTGGCATCAGGAGACTCTTTCTCCACTTTCTCGCCATTCACTTGAGGAGCCACTTCATCCTGAATAGTATCCATAGTCTCAGGAGCCTCCTCCTTTTGAGCCACAGACACACCATCTGGCTGGCCAACTGAAATGATAAAGAAGAAATTGATAAGATATTGATACATTTTTAGTCAATTAATGTTTACTACTTCAACTCACTAACAACATCCCCATGATATTCAGATTAAAATGCTTTAAACAGAGCTACGATTTAACAGAATCAGGTAATGATGAAGTAATCAAATTACTGTCCCAGGAAGCATAAATCACTTTGTCCTCAATGGAAATCTCTTGAGAATCTCTGAGAGGAAACTCCATTAAAAACAAATGCAAGTTTTATATCATTGATGAACGTCTCCTTGCCAGCTGCAGATAATCAGAGACGTTGTACAGAAAGTATTTGCTGAGATCCTGATCTCCTGAGCTAATTTCATTAAGCATATGACTACTTAATTGCAATCAGATTGCAATTTGGTCCACTTAATCCTGTGCTATGTAAACATGCCAAAGAAATACAAGTTTAGGCATTGACACACATAAAACAGAAATCCCCAAAGGGAAGTTCATAGAAAATGTTGCACAATGAGAGTAATGCTAATGGCAATTTGTGGATTATTAATATTATGAACAACTTCTACTTTCTTTTTATGGTTAAACTGGAGCATTTATTCAATTGTTGTGAGAAAAATCCTTGGTAGATAAATGTAAGACAAATGACATATCAGCAGCTGAAATGAGACACATAAACACAACGTCTGTCTGCCTGCCGTGTCTATCTGTGTTTGGACAGAGGAAGGCGTTGGGGGATGACAACCTGCCAGTATCTGTAGTTTTTCTTCCCTTTTTCTTTGCCTTTCTCCTCTCCTACTCTCAAAACAAATTCCCAGGACTTTTAATTCCCAGCTATCAGCTTACCTGATTACACACACTGGGAAACACAAAGATGCATACGCAGTCCCCTAAAACCATGCACACTGTGGGAACTACCTTGTTCTCTTTACCTAGCAAAACACATATTAATATAATATAAAGCTCTGAACTTTGAAATCAATACACAACACAATCTCTAATTCAAAACGAATACACACAAATATATGAAGACAATGTAAAAAAAACAGGTATTTGGTCACAGTCCCTATTTTCGTTATACTATCTGTTTTGAAAATTGGATTCGGTTGATGAGTGTTTTCTTGTCTCACACAAAAATGTAAAACTATGCGCCCACATCTGTCCACATCCTTTTCCTAAATTATAGACATGAACCTTCACTCAGTAGCACTGCATTCCTAGAATATTTTAGCTTTAAAAACAAAAAAGAAACTTTTAATTGAATGCTTTGCTTGACCAGTAGAAGAAATTAGGTAAAACCTCTCTGTGAACTCGCAGCACATTTCAAACTAAATTTGTGTGATAAAATAAAGAACTGCTTTCATACACTAATGTTGTTAGTGGGGACACGCCCGTATATTATGTATAGATTTGACTTGAGAGGAATGTGAGCTATGCTGTTCTACTACTATGTGTGCGGGGAAAATTATTTTAGGATGCTCTAAACATAATCTGAATTTAAATGCCAGGGGACTTCAAGAATGTTTATTTGTTTTTCAGTTAAACTGTGTCTCCACTGTGCCCATGTAGGACTCAAACCAAACAATAAAGGCCTCTACTACTACTACCCCTCCTTAAAATAAGTCCCAATCCCCTTGACCCAAATTCCACCACAGCAGGATGGATGGGGACCCACCCCCTTCCCAAAGGCACACACACATTCAAACACAATAGTCTTCTAACCCTCTCTGGCCTCTGAAAATAAAGGAAGGGGGGGTGGTCAACTTTTTCTATTATCAAGACACACTGCAGTTCGGAGGAAGTTTACTGACTTTACCAAACTGAATAAACACGAATGAAGAGTGACTGAGTGATTTTATAAAATACATCTGTGTCACACGGCAGTGGGCTTTCTCTCATATAGGTGTTATTTTCAGGGTGCTTGTCCAACCACACAGCTGTTGAGCAAGCAAGTCAAGACCCACAAACATCATATAAAAACTACTCTGTGTCATGTTTATCTAATATGAAACTTGACCACAAACACAGGTTCAGCTCAACTATACCTAAGTAGCAAAGTCCTGTTAGTGTATATGTTATTAGTACTTAGTTCCTCAATCAACTTCCGGTGCACTTTTTTTTTTAATCAAGACGTCTGTGTGTGAGTAGGAGGGTTCAGACTGTTAGTAAGCCAGACGAGGCCATGTGTGTCTACATGTACAATAAAACAGGAGTCATGTTGATTTAACAGACTACTGGCATCTCTCCTGTCTTTTTGATCCCTGTTTTCCAACCCTGCCTTTTTTTTTTTTAGACACACAACTCCCTAGATTGAATTGGTTTTTTGGGGGGTGTGGGTTAATGCGTGATGGAGGAGGGCTGGTGTTTTAAATAACGACTGTACCAGAAAGAATGTGTGTGTGTGTGTGTGTGAGGGGTGAGGCTACAGGGGGTGAGGAGGGAGGGGACAGTTAAGAGATGAAGGGAAAGGGTTAAAAAGGGCTGGGGGGTGGTGGTCTGCCTTAGGGTTGAAGCCCTTACTCACTTTAGAGGGTGTTACATATTTCAGACTCACACATTCATAGTTGAAATGCTGCTGCAGACAGACTTTGTTTGTGTGTGAGAGCATGTGGTGAAGTGATGCTCTCGTATTAAATATCATCGCTGCAGCCAAAAGACAATTGTTGTAAATCTACTCTCGTCTCCAGTGAGATCAGATAATGTTTCTGTTGTGGCTGTTTTCGTGTCTAGTGTGGGTTTGTGTGTTGTTGAAGAGGGGGTGGGGGGTTAGGGGGCAAGCTGAATGGCAGCTATTCTCTCTAGACATTATTTACAAACTTTGCCAAATATATGCAAATCCTAGTTGTAATTAATTGTCTGGAGTACAAGCCCTTTAAACAAAAGAAGTCAGTTAAAAAAAGAGGGCAAGGCGATACCCTATGCCCTCCCCCGGCAGACAGTTTCTAGCACCCCCCCGTATCAATGATGTGGTCGAAGTGTCTCCAAGGCTCCAGGGGGGTTTCTACACATCAACAGCAATAATAACACCCACAGTCCTTTATCTTATTAACATCAAGTCTGATGGGGACAGGTCGAATTATCCCACAGAAAAATAAAGAAAACACAAACACTTCTATCAATATCAGTGCTTTTATATTCCATTTGTGTTCAGAAACCAAAACCTGGGGTCACCATGAAGCAAAAACACCCCTGACCTGCTCCATCTGAACCATCACTCCCAGTTATCAGAAGAAGAAGAATTGGTCTTGGCATGTAATTAATTCCATACGCCCATTTCTCCTCCCTCCCTATCCTCTGAGGTTTAACTGAATAACCCCACTGGGAATTAGGATCCCACTCTAATCTAATGAAACACTTCACATGACGGGACACAGCGAGCTGGCATGAGCTAAAAACAGGCACTGAAAATATTTCTGTAAATCCATCTTCATATATTTCTAATTGGCAGCTGTCACTGTGAAATTCTTGTCCCACCAAGAAGTCTGGCGGTAGTATTAGATCTATACTTAAGAGTTCAGGGGCACTTGGTAGTTGCACCACTGTAATAGTACTTGTACAGTAGATAAACAGGTTTTCACTACAGGGCTATTTGGGGGTGTTTTGTGGGACTTGTGTAAAGCTAGTGGCAATGCACAAGGATGATGGATAAACACTTGGTGATGCACTTTTAAAGGATTCGAGCTCATAAACAGGATAAAAGTTAAGAAAACAAGCATTATTATAAACATTATGTGCTTTCAACTCAATGTGGCTCTGCAGCGGTCAAAGAAAAGCCATCCCCAAGTCAAATCACTCACCCGTGCCGGGACATCCACCAACTACAATGCTAACTAACCACACCCTCAGGACAACAATGCCTTCAGCTATTCTCATTCATGTGAGGAGAAACTACTGCTCTTTAGACATATACTAAAAGAGTAAAATGCAACAAATATTATCAAGTTTCAACACAACAAATTATATTAGTTTGGTGTAAATCAGTCACAAAATTTTGCAACAATTGTTAAAATGTAATAAGATGAGACTGAATCATTGTTCTTACCTGTTAGAGTTATTGTTCCAAGCATTGGTATAAAAGCCCAAAAATCCTTTCTCCAAAAAAAATTTACAAAAATAAAGATTAAAAAAATTAAAAAAAATATCTGTCTATTTACTCTCTATCGTTTTCCTTCACTTGCACACTCGGTAAACTATTAAAGTTGCTTTGAGTTGGTTCCGTCTTAACTAGTAAACTAGGGCAGAAGCTGTGTGTCTCTCTCTCTCTTCCAGCACTTCTCAGCCAGTATGAACCAAAAAAGAGGGCTCCACACACATTTCAACAGACTGACACACATGTCATGTTAGGACCACCCCTGCCTCCCTCTTCCTCCCACCTCCCTCTCCTTTCTTCAGCTGTTCTGAATGAGCCCCCTCCTCCCCCCATCTCCTCCTCCCTCCCTCCCTCCTCCTTATCCACTCACCCTCCCTCAGACCTTGCAGTCCAGCCGGGATGACTGGAGCTCATCATGTGATCTTTAAAGAAAATAATTTGTTGCCCACTACAAAAAAAATAGCAACTATTGTACATGTTCAGACCACAATACACCACCCATCCATCAGTTCCTCACCCCGTTTCATACACAAACTCATATATATTGTTTCTCTGGAGAAGGTGGGGGTTCAACAGTCTACTCTGGTTGTGATATCCTTACGTTTCTCTCACAGATTTTTCAAAATACCAAGTGAAAAACAGCCTTGTGTACCTCCTTTACTCCCCTTTTGCAGTAGGCAACCAGGCTCTTCTTTGTATCTCGTGTCACTAAGTGTCATGTAGAGAAAATGTTGATGGAGGCACACCAGAGAAATTCAGGATTTTACTCTCTTTTCAATTGAAATCGTTGATTTTTTTCAGCCTTTTTGAGTTTTTTCTCTAATGCAAAAATGATAAAATAGTAAAACTTCACCGTACAGACCCAAAGCATATCCCTGTTTAAGATAAAGTTCATACCAAGGGGCTAAATCCACACCGTGAACGGG